AAGAGAAAAACTCATATTTTACTATGTTTAATTAATAAATTTTGACGTTGATGCAAAACATATGGTCGCCACTGTATATGAATGCACCTATTTTATCTTAATAATACTTATGATTTTAAATAAAGATAATTTTATTATATAGAACTAATAAATCAATAGATAATTGAAATACTTATGATTTCAAGTATAATTTATCTTTTTATTTATATTGTTTATTAAAAAATTATTTATAATATAACACATTGAATTATTATATTATAATAAAAATTAATAAAAAATATTATTAAAATATTTACTATAATATTAACAATAATAATATCTAAATATTTATGTTTTATATATGAGATAATATAATACTAAAAATATTTTTTTTTTGAATTTTTCAGGTATATGATCATTATAGGTAATTTTTTTTAATATATAATTTTCAATTTCTTTTAAATTGAAATTAATTTGATCATTATCTATTTTTATTATATTATTATTATTATTAATTATACTAATAATATCATTTATATTATTTAATAATTCATCAAATTTATTTTCCATTTTTCGTTTTATTTGCTATTTTTTCTATTTCTATTGCTAATTTTTCTAATTTTAATATATTTTTTTTTTAGTTTAATTTAAAATTATCAATTTCTTTTTGGTTTTCTATTGTAAATATCGATATGCAAATCACATGAACGTCGATTTCAGACAAAAAAAGCTGCAAAAAAAGTGTAGCAAGATCCGTAGAATTCTGGAGCTCCGACCCACCTACCACCTAACCGTCTGGTCAGAGACACTCGAGCCCCATTTTGCTCCCAGCTTAATGAAACTGGAGTCAGTTACTGCCCCACAGCGCAGCACTGCATTGGCCACACCGCACCACACATACCCTTTTAGGGAACGAGTCCCCTCCGGGTAATCATTTCGAGATCACATTATCAAAAAAATAAAGCTAATCCGTCTTTAAATAAATAGGATTTTTAGTATATAGGGGACTACATATATATGTACATTTGATTTAATTATCTACCACCCCCACCCAGTGTTGTCAACGTTACACGTCCAAGGACGTCCAAATTGACTTTATGGTAATTTGGACAAAAATAGAACAATTTGACTGGTGTGGACGATTCGAAAAAGGAAATTTGGATGTTTGGACGTGTAACAATGACAACACTGGGCCCCCACCGATACCGATTTTATTATGCAAACACCGAGGAGCGAAGTTATATGCAGTCCGTCAACGCCTCAATTCGTCATGATACTGCCGTATTACCTTTACGATTGCTGCTACCGCAGCATAAATATCCCTTTCGTTAATAACTCCTTCGTCGTAAAAGTGAATACTAGCAAAGATGATAACTAGTGTTGTGAATATGCGATTTCCACCATAATCTCTATCGAGACGATGTAAATCATCATCTAAATAATTCCTTATACTTTCTAAATTGGCTAACACATCACCCCAGACAATAGAAACGGTAGTTAAAAACCGTCGAACACCTTCAAAACGATGCTGAACACCTTCAAAACGATGCTGAACACGATGCTGATTATACTCTCGAAATACGCTCCCAACACGTTCGGCCAATTGTGGTATATCCAAAGCTGAAACAAAAAGCATAAAACAAATAAGAGATATGATAAATAATAGACGAGAAGTTCACAAACATGATGGAAGTACTTACGTGTCCTTCTAGGTATAAATTGCTGAAAAGGTATTCTAATGATAGGGCTGTATCCAGTCGCAGTTTCATAGTCAGAACTTGAGAACAATTCAAAATATCTAATGTAATAGATATCAACATCAGCTAGGCTGATTACCGTTGTTAACCACTCGATCACTAACAGACGGGTGTTAGCAAATGCTCTATAGACATCATCGTTTCTGAGATAGTCTATTGCGGCACGATTAAAATGTTGATTAGTCACACTATTTCCTCCAAAGATTGACCCCTTAGCCCTGTTAATTCTCGGATCAAGAAATCGTATATTGAACTCGGAATTCATGATATTTTGTAATCCAATATCTAGGTTGTTCTCATTAATTATATTACACATAATAGTTCGTATATTAGTATCCAAGTTTTGAAAGTAACGTAAGATAATTTGTGCTTCAAAAACGTGATCAGCTTGGTATGGGCCATCGAGAGTATAACGGCCGACATTGTCAGAATATACTGGCGGAGGTATAAGATCTCTAGACGTATGACGCACTCTAATTTGATCAACTTTGACTTGAATGACCCTGTCTGGCTGACTTTGGTCATATATATATGCCCAGTCCGCCAAATTGGCGCTTTCCCTATACGTTCTACTGTCTACTTTGATTTTGAATATGCAAAAAGTATCATTACTCGGTATTCTGGCAAAGACCGCAAAGGCCCAAAAAAATAGACAAAGAAAGTGAAAAAGCATTGATAGTGTTAATTATAAAAAGCAGTATTTAAGATTAATAAGAGGGAAGTGTCCACTGAATGTAGAACCGGATTTTATAAGTACATACGTATATGCAAGTAACAATGCACAAGTTCCATTGTGAAGTTAAAAATCGCCATGATTGTAACACGATATTGTGAGATACGCATTGTCCATATCGTTATCGTTACTCAATGAATTGACATTTGAGACGATAGAAGTAATATGTGCGTCTAATGTTATAAAAATTCTCGACTATGAGATAATAAATTTTTGGGTATCATTACGTAACGGTAATACGTATAATAAACAATCATTGTGTCAAATACATGTACATGTACATACATGCGTACACGCATGGTAACATTCGAATAATTTTTTTATTTTTTTTTCATGTACATATAATACATGTACGTATAAATAGAGCATTGTGTACTGTAATTCTCCAATGGGCGGTATATAATTTAAAAAAGAAAAAAATCATAATTGATACTGTTTTCCTGATAGCACATGATATGATCAGTCACTTTAGATAATGTTACATTGCATTAATCCACTGATGTATTGAAAGATAAGCATTATTTCAGGGTGTTATTTTGAAACAAATACGTACGTATGCTATTTTTAAAGGTATGATTTTTGAAGTAACGCACAATTTCCATTATTTCGAGAATTTATGATATCTGTCCCTTGATTTATGTTAACGTGTGCATAAGAATTTCATATATATTCAAATCTTGTTATAGTAAAGACATCGAGGTAAGAGAAAAATCTTCACTATAGTTATATCGAGAGAATTCTTAATAATTCTAAAAAAATTCTTCGCTATATCGAGAGGAGTTATAAATACGCATTTGCTATATTAAAAGAGTCTTTTATAAATAGAAATTATGAAAAGCTTCTTTTTTATTATTATGCGTTCTATCATTTTTCATGCATAAAAAGCTATATTACTCTTTATTTAACACACGAATGAAAGTCAAAATACACTATAATTTGTTTAATGCATGTCATAGACGTAATGTGCTACTGTTTCCATGTGTAAAGTACGTATTCCCAAAAAGTAATGTCTGGTCCAAAATTATAAATTTTTTATAATAATTATTTCAAAATTTTATATCTTTTAAAACTAATTGATTATATTTCAGAAAATAATACAAGACTTGAAAATACAAGAACAGTTTTGATTGGAAAGTAAAAAAAATTTTCACACGCCACGCTTTATATATGAAAATTAAATTTTTCAAGGTATATATATATATATTTCTATTAGTAATTATTTCTAAATTTCATAACATTTTTAAGTATTTAAGACTTTTGTCTATAAAAAGTAATAGTTAAGAAGTCTCCCACACACTCATCTGAAACACATAATCTCTCTTCAAATCAACATAATCAATGATATCAGCACAGACTTTAGATACCGAAACAAACTTTCAAAGTCTTGTTGTAGTAGAAATTTCCAATTCACCCAAACAAAAATAAAATCACAACAATATTATATTATAGTGGCTCACACTTGTAACAGAACACGAAAATTGACTTTCTAGAATTTTTATTTCCATGATTATTAGTTTGGACAAAATAAAAAAAGTGGTTATTTAAAATTTTGAAATCTCTAATATTTTTAAAAATAATTTGACAACAGATTATTTTATGAAATAAAGTGATTTAAATTAAATTACAATTAGTAAATTTCTCACATTGAAGAACTTTTTTTCTATGAAGAATTCAAATTTGAATTTGAACCACTAATTAAAACTGTTTTACTTTATGAAATCTATCTATTTACTAATTTTCATAAAAATCAGCTTAATTTATATAGATATTTAAAATCCTAAATTCTGAATTTATGCTAAGAGCATTAATATATGAATTAATACTTCTATTTAGATTCAGTCCTTCAGGATCTTAAAATTGGTAAATAAGTAAATTATATAAAGTAAAACATTTTTAATTAGTGATTTATATTTGAATTCTTTATAAAAAAATACTTTGATATGAGAAATTTAATAATTAAAAATTTTGATTTAAATATTTTTATTTCACAAAATAATTTGTTATCAAATTATTTTTAAAAAATATTAGTAATTTTAAGGTATAGTTTCATAAAGTAATTATTATAATAATTATATTTAAAATTAAAAAATTGGAGAAATTAGAAAAAGACTTGATTGTTTTAGTATAATTTAATTAAATACTTCTTTGTAATAATATTTCTATACTAATTAAATAAATAGCAATAATTTATTAATAATTGAACTATTAATTAGAATGAAATTAAGAAAATATAATATATATATTAACAAAGTAAAAAAAGATATACTTATCATATAAAAAATTTTTTAAATATTTATTTCTATCAATAAATTTTATTATTTTATATATATTCAAAAGTAAAGTTAATATTATTTTGAGACTTGATTAAAAATGCAATTTAAATAGATTTTCAGTTAATGTAAAAATTAAAATACTTTATATATGAGTATAGGAATTTTCTGATTAAAATCATTAATTTATAAAGAAATCTTTGAAATTATTGAAAATTGCTCTTACCTTTTTCTATTGATTGTTTAATAATTTGAAATTTTTTTTGTTGGTTAAAACTGTTTGAATATCTTTGTAACAGTTTGAGTATTAAAAACTTCAAATTAATATTTATAATTTCTTTTATTGATGAAATAACTTAATAATGAGAATTTCTATTTATTATATAAAATAATAAAAATTGTTATGATCTTACAAGTATATCTCTAAATCTTAAAATATTTGCTTATTACCATTTATATAATATTATAGTAAAATAATTGCTTTTATTTTAAAAAGTATAAATAACTAACTGATTTTAAAATTAATAAATTTATAAAATAGCACTCTTTGATCTTTTATGAAAAAGGAATAAATAATCTCACACGCAAAGAACAAATACTCACATTTTTTCCATTAATGTGATCCAATAATTGGCACTATCCTTCACCACACAATCGCACACTTTACAATAATATCCTGGCTGTTTCGAGATAATACTAGTGCTTTGAACCAACTTGATCCTATTCAAGTTAGCATCGAGCACAACTTTCTCTGAAGTTCCTCTTCATCCTAAACATCATCATCTGGTTTAGGTTTTAGACCTTTGTTTAAAGTGATAAAGGTTAGAAGAATGGAACAGAGTTGAAAAAGAAGAAAAGGTAATTTAAATGATGGTTGCTGACTGTGTAGCATAAACTCCTTTCTTTTGCGACATTTGTAATGAATAAAAGATTATCATTATTGTTATTGTTATGTCTACATATTTTTCTATATCCAGCTTTATTTCTGATACGTAGTGTGTTATGTAGTCTGAATATTCAGAACAAACCTGATTACGTATCTAATTGTTTCTGAGTGTGCCAAAATGACGAATGTTCAGTACTAAATGGGCTACAGTAATCCCGTAACTGATAAAAAATGCACTCGCTACAATGATTTTGTATGTGTGAATCAATTCTGCATTAAATTGTATTTGAAATATTAAAAGAAGAGACTTTATTATTCCAATAAATCAGACATGATATCGATATTAAATTTAATTGACAAATGCAGGTAAGAGTTTATATCGAAGTTAATTAAATAGTATAACTCAGAATTTCTAGTCTAATATATTGCTATATTAATTTATCTGAACTCATTTACAGTGACCACCCAGAATATTGTGAACACTTTTTAAAATATAATAACGCAAGAACCAATAAAAAAGCAAGATTTATGATTCTAAACTAATAGAATTATTGAAACATATTGTACATTATATCAAAATTTTAAGTTATTTCAATAACTAGTTCAAAATATATATATATATAAAATAAAATTTAGTTTCAAACTGAAATTTATGTAAAAAAATATTATTTTACAAAGATGCAAATAACTTCGCATCTAGTAAATCAAATTAAATATAATTTTATCTACATATTTTTCAAGTTAAGGTGCATCTAATGATATCAAAATTATTTAATTTAGATTACTAGATATGAAGATATCACGTCTCAAAGATAACATACAACTGGGATAAAATTTTTTGAAGAAAATAGTTTTTGTGAATATCTCCGCATCCAATTAACCAAATTCAATGATTTTGATATCATCAGGTTTGTCTTGTTTAATTGAATCTAGTGATACAAAATCATCCAATTTGCAAAAACAGTTTTCTTTAAAAATTTCTTTAAAATTTTTTTTACCCTGATTTTGTACGGTATTTTTGAGATAGTATATCTCTGCATCTATATGATTTTGATATCATTAGATGCACTTGACTTGGTGAATCTGGTGATATAAAATTATTTAATTTGATTTACTGGGTATGAAGATATTTTCATCTTTATAAAATAGAATATTTTTTTCATGTAAATTTTCAGTTTGATACTAAATTTTATTTTTTATATTTATATATATATATTGAAATAGTCATTAAAATCACTTGCAATTTTGATATAATGTACAATATGTTTCAATGATTTTATTAGCTTAGAATCATAAATCTTGCTTTTTTATTGGTTTTTGCATTATTGTATTTTAAAAAGTGTCCACAATATTCTGGGAGGCCACTGTACTCAACATGATTTTTTCCCGAATGGAGATTTCCCTGACAAGAGATATTGTGATATAATGTATTAACTGGTTATGTCGGGGATATGAGTGGTCGTTGAAATAGGTTGTCGAGGATATGGAGATATGGCTTCAGGGAAATGTTGTGTTTGGGAAAGGGGGTTAGTCTAAGAAATCTAGATAGGATATAGGA